ACAGCTTGGTGCCTCCTAATTCCAACAGGAAAATCGCTTTCTGCTTTACAATCAGTAGCTCTTACAGAAATTTCGTTTCACCTTTTGCTGTTGTCAGCTATGTACAACATAGCTGTATGTTGTACATACAACATATGAGTATGCACTATGTCAGATCCCTCACCCAGGACCGCCTTCAGCACTTGCTCCAACATCTGTAGAGACCAACACGACTTTATCACTTTATTAGAAGTGCAGTGGGCCCGTGACAGCAAAATCAAAAATTGGTTCTACTGCAACCTAGTTCTTCTGTCCAGATTATTGAAAGTACAGCTCACTGAAGTGTTCAATATACACTGTCTCTATTTTTAGACTATAATAATGGTTTTGTTCTTTGGGGGATGGGGTAACTTAAAGCAGAAATATCGTCTCAAATCATAGCTTTCCACCTCCTTCCAAGCACTTTTTTCCTATATTTCTTCCTCTTTAAAAAAAAACCAAAAAACATGAAAAAAAAAAAAGAAAACCATCTCTCATCTTGACTTTAAACCCAGATTCTTAATCCCCATATAAGCACACAGCTCTTAATCAGAGACATGCATCCAAAGGCAGAAGTTGATTCAAACCCGGTCTAGTATAAGTACAGGCTGATGGTCCCATTTTTTCCTCAGGCTTAGTTCTTTGACATGTTGCACTGTCGCAAGCTCAAGGCCTCTTTCTGCTTGGACTGGACACCTAGCTTGTGTTTTCAGACCACAAGAATGAACTGTAGTTTTCATCTAATTATGGACACCACTAAATACTGATTTGAATCCACAAGCAGGCAATTAGGGATCCAAGTACAAAAATATCTTCTGCAAAAAAGGCTGGATGACCTTTTGACAACCTCTTCGTGGGATGTAAGGGACAGAGGGACAGGATCCCACCACGTAGAACTTCATTCATCTTAGTGTCAGCAGACTGACCCCTGAACTACCACACCTCACTTACTCAGTGGTCTACACAAGCTGCTCTTTCTCACCTTCCCAACAGCACTAGCTAAATTAACAGAAAACACAAAGACTATCATAATTCTACTAATTATTTAATTAGTCTGTGCTCAGCATGGCATTTCATGTGTTTCTTTCTCATTCTATGCAAGGAACAGAAGATTTCAAAATTATATCCAAAGCATCTTCAAATTTACAATAAGACATATTAATCCTCATCAGTTGTGGAGATTTTCATCTGTCTTTCACCCATTTGCATTTATTTTCGAACAGTTAGGGAAGAGCCCTCATACTGCAAACACGTAACGGGACTGAAACTTTTAACTTCAGTACTATGAGTGAAGTTCATCATTCTTATGGATAATTGCCACCAAAGGGAAAAAAAAGGAAGGGGAGGGAGAGGGGGAAGGAAGCAAGTCTGTTTCTGTGGGGAAAAAAATCCCTGAAAACACAGAGTTTCTTTACATCTCAGCAACAATTAAAAACAATGTTGAAGAGTAAATTTAGGGTGAAGAACCAATAACTATAGAGGAAAAAAAGCTGTTTTCTAAACTAGTTTTTCAACAGAGTAACTCTCAAATGAAGCCCTAGCTACTGTTGGTTTAGAGCCTATACACTACACCGTGACAAAAGGGAACCCTTCGGAAAAGGTACCGTCAAACAATCCTAGTTCAGGGGACTCGAGCAGAAACAGAGAGTCACCCCGTAGCACTCGACCATAAACTGTCTGGATTTCTCAGTATTGTATGTAAAAGCCACACTTACATTCTCTTTACTTACCCATTAAAGTAACTACAACTTTTGTGACTCATATTTAGTCATTTTTTGGCAGCTTGGTCTGCCTTGAACCAAGTCAAAACCACTAAGCAGAAATTCACAAGCAGGAAACATCAGAGTGAAACAACCCAGACCTTTAGAAAACGGAAAGCAATCTCCTCAAAAAACAACTTGTACCTGGGAACTCACTGAACCACATACAACCCTTACATATACATATATTTCCAACCTATTTTTCCTCCAAAGCTATTTCTTGAAGAGTGCAGGCAAACAAGTTCAGAGGATAGATTTGGACACCGCTCGGTCAAGACAGGCAGTCCCGCATGGGTAAGCCCTGGAGGAGGAGGAGGCCATGTTGTGCCCAAGGCAGCCACTTACTGTCAACAAGCCCTGCAAGCTGGGTTAGGATCACCAGCTGAAAACAGTGAATTACACCACAGGTGCCGGAGAAATGCAACCAGAATATGGAACTAAGGAGAAATCACATCCTTTTATGACTCAAATTAAATGCAATGAAAATAAGGAGGATGTATTTGACTCCACAAGGACCTGCAGAACACGGATGCCACAGCAATAAGGCAGAAAAATTCTAGACAAAGATGACTTTTTTTTTTTAAATCTCTAACACTGAGTTTAAAGTTTATGGGACCACCTCAGCGCTATCTTCAGTGAAATTTATTGACCTATTCACCAGTACTCTGAGTTTAGTAAAATGCAGTGCTGCAATAATACACTCTACTGTCACAAAATAATCCAACCAATCACTATAGTGATCCAAAAATAACATACCAGAAAAACACTCTTACATGACGTATTTAATGTTTCTTTTCAGCACCCTCCTCAATATATTTGGATAAGATTGTCTGGCTGCACTGTACTTCCAAACCTATCTTTATCTCATTGCACATGCAAACCTATTCAGAAAGTACGTGCTGGCTCCTGGAACTGCAAACCAGCTGACATAATGTTGGAGTTGTAACAAGCTTTGAACTTCCTGAAAGACAAGACAAATTTCATTTCTGAAATAATACCCACCTCGTACAGAAAAATCATATTACTGTAATACACGCTAGGACACACTACCCCATGAGAAACTTCAGCTTCTCGCACCAGCAAAATAGTGAGAAAAAAAGACCTGATTTCAGAAGGTACCACAACCCCTACAAATATCTTAAGATAAAGTTTTTAGCACTATGGCTTACATCCATCTGGTTAGTTTTTGGTGGTGGTGGTGGTTGTTTGTTTGTTTTATATTTATTTTGAACAATCTGCGACCACTTGTTAATAAAAATGTAGTAAGATGAGTTTGCAGTTTCCCTATTATGCCATGGACATTGGCACTAAAGCTCTGTTTTATCATTCACTGAATTCAGTGGAACATCTGTAGCTGCAGACCATGGACATCAAGCTCTTAAACACAGCACAACTAGAGCAGCCACACCAAGAAAGAGACCACTGCGATCTCCCTGACTTCTGGATGCCTTAGTCTATATCCTAGTAACAGGAAAAAGCAATCCATGTGGAAGGAAGTTTTAATTCTTCTCAGTCCGCATCTAGATGATGTCAAATGAGGTGTCAGTAAGTTGAAGGCACATGCAATAGTGTGATGAGATCACTCAGACATGACTGACTTTTCTGGCATCAGCAAATCATTCTGTCCACTGTGAAGCTCAGTGCCCTGGACCTTATCTGACATTGGAGCAGAAGAGCTGCAGTGTTTGGATTACGGGGACATTCAGGCAGTGTAAACACTCATCAGGCTTCCTTATTTTAAATTTTCAATATCTGGCTGCAAAACCCAGCTGAAGGACAAAGACATCATCCAGCCACGCCAGATGAATGCCAAGCTGATAAAGGAGTAAGCCCCCTAGACTGAACGCCAGACTGTCCTACACAGCATCTTTATTTTGATTCTAGTCTGAATTTTCTGAAAGCATCTATGGTCAGTTTTCTCCCAGAAACAACTTCTTTCAGCTGTAAAGAAAATTTCATTTCTTTCACATGTTTCTGTGTCCTTGTTTAGTGTCATTGTGGTTAATAGTCTTTTGAGTATGTACAAGCTACTGTTCCAGTGCATTTATATCACTGTACAACTACTGACTTAGAACATAATTTGTGGTACTGGTTTGGTTCCTTATACACCCCCAAAAGCCGGTGTTTGTACAGTCTAATCTTGAAGTTCTTTGCATGAAGCCATACTTACTTCCTTTAAATAACACAGCATTTCTGGTTCTGACAAAATCCTTCTCCTTATTTATGTATTTGTTTTACTCCTCAGTTTGCAGTTTGAGTTTTGGCAGCTAAATACATTAAAATGATGTTTTTAAAGACAGCTATATACATCAGTCTAAGAAAATTCAAATGAGCACTCCACCGTAACCATGCATTTATTAGTGCTCTCTGTTTACTATGAGATCACCCAGCAGCAAAGATCCCATGGTGCGACTGCTGTCCCCTCGCTCACAACCCCCCGAAATATTGAAGGAACTCTCCGAAATTACAGCCTGGGTTTCCTGGTTAGATGAATATCACACGCATTCATTTGGGCCACAAAGCAGTACATCAGCTTTCTAATCCAGTAACGCCTCCTTCGCTTCACTCTCCAAACCCTACCTTTGCCAGTTATCTTTTAAGGGCAAAGAACAGAATCACAGAATCACAGAATGGTAGGAGTTGGAAGGGACCTCTGTGGGTCATCTAGTCCAACCCTCCTGCCGAAGCAGGGTCACCTACAGCAGGCTGCACAGGACCTTGTCCAGGAGGGTCTTGAGTATCTCCAGAGAAGGAGACTCCACAACCTCCCTGGGCAACCTGTTCCAGTGCTCCATCATGTAAACCTCCGATTAGCTGTTTAACTCTGAAATATCAGACAGCTAAAAATTGTTTCCAGCCAACTGACCTTAGGATAGGACCATCTCACTGTTTATTCCATAGCTACTAATCCCACTGGAAGAGGCTAGTTTGCTCTGTACCCTTCAACATTTACAAGTGTCTTGTGAAAGCTTCAGAATGCCTTTTCTTCCTTCTAATTATGTATTTTCACTATAATTTACAAGAAAAGCTGGACAACGGATGAATTTTCCAATTCATCCTGCTCAGTGGTGAGTATTAATCCTCCCTTAATTTTCCTGCATATCATGCCAGAATTGGGACCAAACTGAGAAACATGTTCCAAGACACTTAGCGTGGCAAGTTGCAGCAGACCTATGAGAGCTTCAGAGAAATAAAAACAACTTTTGGATGCATTTCCTTTACCTCTCAGGATGTAGTTCTGGTAATTCTGGTCGGCCTCTGCTCCCACTTTGATTAAGCAAGTCAGACCTTCAGCAACAACAAACTCATGAACCAAGTCCTTGTCATCCTGCCACAAGAGAAAGCAAAAGCTGCGTTAGAATTCTGAAAGACAAAGAAATGGGATATATCATAATCTAAAACGAAATGCATGCCTGCAATATTGTGTTTCAGATAATGTAAGCAAGTTGACATGAAAGTTGTTATATAGAAGACCAGAAGCAGAATTCTGAATTTTAAAATCAGAATTAAATACATCAATGCAGAGCAAGAAAAAACAAGCTTTTACATTTAAGTCAACTGCAGAAGATTAAAACCAGTAAAATCTCACTGCTGATTTTTTCATTAAAGGTTTGCAGACATTCTCCCTAATCTCATCATATCACCTAAACAGACATCCTTAAAGCATCAGGATCAACAAGGGAAGGCCATCTCTATGCCTTAGTGTAATCCCAGTTTCAGTATTTTAAGTGCATGCAGCAAAACTTTAAAACTGGTGTTTATTGCAACTTAATATTATATTCATTATGCTAACATAATATTAATTCATTGTATTTAAAAAGGGAAAGTATAGTGTTGAATATACGAACACTAGTAGATAATATTCCCACACTGTGATGGAAAACCCAGCAAATCTAAAATACTCCTTAGTATTTCATGGGAGTTTATACTAGTTAAAGTGACTCACTTTTTTTTCAACCATCAGTCCTTTACTCCATACAGGAGAACAACCCCGTATCACAGGGGCATGTTATTCCAGGGAGAGGAGGGCTTTGCTGGGTGCTACACGCATACTACTACGCCAAGGGACTATACAGCACCCTATCTAAAGCTTGCCTTCTCCTCTTACAGAGGCTCATGTAGACAAACAGGAGGCTACTAAACTCTTGATCAAAGAGCACTTAATGAATTAGCCACACAAATTAGGCACAAAAACAATTTAAAATATTATGGAAGAGAACTAATATGTGGACAATCATAGTTGCTGAGTCATTTCTTTTGAGCTTTTTTAATCTACGTTTTCATACATAGCAGTGTATAAGATATAAATTTCAGCTTTCCAGTAACGCAGCCCCGAGAAGCCAAGATCCAGACAGTAGACAGCTTTGTTGAGAGTGATTTCTGAATTCACTGCAAACATTTAGAAAAAGGAACTAAAATAATCAAGCCCCTTCTAGAGTGACAGTTCCCTTACTGCAAATTTCTTTCAGCCTGACAGTTTATTTCTTATGAATTTCCTTCTTTTACTAGAGCTAAGTTACATAATTTTTAAAGGCTGACTAAATGGGATATTTAAAATTGTAAGGTGATCTAGCAATTTGTAAGAAATTTAGAACTTCTGAGAAAAAAAAATCTGTTTAATGTTTCAGATAAAGGTCAAATTTGTTAAAATAATCTAAATATATACAATAATCATGTATAGAAACAGAAATTTATTGTATAATAAAGGTGATTTATCCTTTAAAAAGTATATAAAGATAAAGCATACAATAATTTCCCACATCTTTGCAAAAGTATATCATAAAATCCAAAAATATGCAAGATAAAATCCACCGCTGTGCACTTTTGAGCTAAAAATTTTATTTATCTCTTAGTCTCAATGTTTTCTTTTTTGAGGGAGTTAATTTTTCTGTAGATAAATAAAAGCCTTGATAATGTTTTCTGAAGAGCTAGGAAGCTGACATACTCCCTTGTCGGACCAGGGTGCTACAGACACAAGCATACGATTTTATGAAGATGACAAATTTCCTCTACCCATTTGCCATACTCCAAACACGATGGGTTTACTACTAGTAGAGGAAGAGTACGCTGACAATCCACCTGTTAATACAGACAGCATTAATTACATTCGGATTTTCTTTATTGCACATAACAGTGTTTTAAAGGCGCATGCACAGATCCCCCTCCACTGCAGCCCACCAAGAAATACCCTTTGCCATTCCAGAAGAGAACTGAAGACTTAAGATGGCTGTTTACATTCAGCAGCTAACGGCATCTTTACAGCAGCAGATCTTTGGCTGGTGCTGAGGCTGCTGTATATTTGGCCAATCCACTGACCTAAAGAGCATGTCCTGATGCATAGGACTGGGGCTAGGAAGGGACACGGTCAGCCACGACACATGGACCTCTGCCTGTCCCACCACGAGCAGTGGCCTCTGGCAAAGCCCTTCCCAAATGCCATCACTGAGGGGACTGAACTCTTAATTCTGAAGCAATTTGTCTCTAGTTGAGATGCCAAAATTCACAAGATGAACTTCCAGAACATCATCTTACAATAACCGTAGTCCTGGAAAAATAAGGACACAAGATAAAACACTTTCTGACGATCAAAACCGTATCTCGGGTTCATTCACCCCAAACTTGGGGTACTTGATTTAAAATCAAGCAACTACAAATAAGTACATAAATAAATATGTAAGCATGCAATACGCAGATACATATGAAGCTGGATAACAAGCAACATTCAAGCTCACCTCGTACGATGGAGAGCCACCTACAACAGAGCAGTGAGGTGGAACCATACCCAAGGAACCCAGAGGAATCTCCTCCTTGGCCACCCCCTCGGTGCCAGGCAACTGCTCCCTCCCATACATCCCTTTGTATACGGTGTTTTAACTTGAAGAAACTTGAGTAACCTCTTGTTTGTCAAGAATTTTAAATCTTCTTTGTCCTAAAACTCAGGAGAGAGGAACATATCCCTGGAATTTGTCAGCTAAGCTTAAAGTATACTCAGGGTTCAGTTACACCATGGCTACGCGCCATGGTAATTCACAAGGAGTTTGCACACCTAGAAAGTAAGTTACACTGTATGCCAAGGTCAACGGTTAAAAATTCCCTGCTGCTAAAGGGAGAAAGTGCCAAAATTTCCCTATACAGAACGGGCAGAGCAAGAGCAAAGGATCAAAAGGACAGGAGTAGACAGAATTTAGAAAAACTAACAGAAATCAGCAACACAGTGCAGAATCAAGAAAGCTGCAGGGAAAGCATCCTCCAAAATATTTCTCTACAACTCTGATGACAAATAGATGCATCTTTTGTTGGACAACACCATTGTCTCATTCCAGAGAAACAAGATATATAACAATATAAGCTACTGAGTGAAATAACCACAATTCCATTTTCAGGTGGTAATGATGTTCTAACTCAGAGCACAGTTCCTTGTTCTTTAAACACCTTTTGTTGATACTTGAGTAGAGATTTTGATTTTGCATCAAGTGTGTTTGCATCATTCTTGAGCTGAGGAAAAAAAAAAAAAATCTGTTCTGGATTGACTTGTAGTCTAATAAGCAAGACTGAAAAAACATGGAAAAGGAGAAATAACTGTGGTCTGTGGATTCTGACATTTGTTAATAGACCTAACATGCCTGTTTAAGAAAAATGAAAGACATTCAGATGATAAAAAAAAAAAAAAATGGCCCTATGCTAGAAAAGTCAACAGTAGTTCAGCTTCAGAGATCTTCAGGTCAAACCCAAAACCAAAATAAGACTTTTAACAGCACATAGCCGTTAAGGGCTGTTGACATTCAATGAAAGATAAAAACTGAAATATCCATTATACCTTTAAGATGTTCCTCATCCTAAATAGCGAATGCACATTAGAGGATCACCTGGGTAAAAATTACCATTTAATTCTCATAATACCTGATGCTAAAGATCTGTTTTATGCTGGTGACTTTTTTTTTTTTTTTTTTTTTAGCAGGGACCTGCCCAAAGCAAATTGTGAGATCTGCCTTCTGGAACTTTTCCAAAGCAGCCAAAGGAGTAAACCACTACAGCATAGAGTCATCCCTGACTGAAAGAAGATATATTGCATGAGAACAGCAGAGGAAATAAAGGGGGTGAGGGACTCTAACCAGACTGCTTTTGGAAAGCACTGAATAAACAAATCAAACCTGAATTAAAAAAAAGCTTTTAAGGTATTTCTCCTTTCCCAAATAAAAGGGAAAAAGAAGGTATAATGAAGCAGAGTACAAACACATCATGCTCTAGACATAAATTTGAACTCAGTACATTATCTATCCCATCATGTGTATACGACGAGAGGAAAGAAGCAAACATCTGGAAAGTGCAAAGAAAGATGAAAGGCATCCAAGCCCATACGTTCTACATTGAAAGGAGAATGTTTACATCAGTTTTGGACTAGGATAATCTTTTCAGGCCCATTAACTAACTGACTTGCCAAGTTAGGTGACCTCAAGAGGAAAGGCTACTCTCTAGCAGTGCTAAGAGGTTCAGGTTTCCAGGAAAAGAGCATTCATTGTACAGAATATATGGGGTGTGTGACAACGATATGTACAAGTAGCTGCCACACGTGTGTGATAACAGTTAAAAGGAGGCAGGGAAAGGTTGTCATTTGCTATGGAAATGGACTCCTCCGCTAATATTGCAAAGATTTATGACCCCTTAATCAGCAGGCATTAAAGCACTGATGAGAAAAGCAGCAAAACACAGGCAAAGCTCTCTAAGCTTCCTGCTAAGCTCCTGCAACCGTAAAGATTGTGCAGTGACACAAACGCTGGCTACTTAAAAGTCTTTATGAAAAATATACCAGTGGCCTCTTTAGATAACTGTTTTACATGTTCATTCACAGATTTGGAATAGATCACGTCTCCTCGTTTCTTCAAGCATTTCAGAAGGGAGAGAAAACAAGATACGTTGCTTTGTAATAAAGCTCTATTTTTGTTCAATGTATAACGAAAAAGACATTAACTATATTCAAACTGGTGAGTTTAAAGCTTGCTTATGTGGTTGACAAAATGCAGAAATCATACTTTCACCTGTATAACTCAGCCTAGCTATTAAAAAGACCCCACAAACCCTGTGATCAAGCAGTCTATACAGGACGCTCATCTGCCACTAGCAGAGTAAGAGGTGTAGGTGGGATTTCCTTCTTTCCTACCCGCTCTCCTGTCTCTGTAGCTTTTGATGTGTTCTCTAATGCAGTTTTGCGGGGTCTTATCTGAAGGTGGAGATTGAAGACTTTTTTTTCAATGAATGGCACTTTGCAAGAATGCATCTTTTCTGATGTGCAGCTTCCATGTGCAAAGATAAATTGTTTACATACTGATA